CAGTACCCCAATAAAAACGCGACAATTCCTATATCCACTCTTTTTACAGATGAATTATCAATCCTCCTCATCAAACATTTGTAAATTTTATCTTAAAACTTTAAGGGATTTTCCTTTCATTTGTATCTCAGCAAAATTAATTGATGATTCATTTGTTTACAATTCATTGAAAATGTTAAATAGCTTCGATAAAAATTAACGAGATAGTACAATCCCCCTTTTTTGGAGAGGGGGGGGGGGGCGGGTATGAATTGTAATGATTGCAACTTGTCCTATTCCCAGCTGACGAATATATCAACCCTGTTTGTTTTCCACGAGTAGACACATAGGAAACATTCAATATACTTTCCATACAAGTAATGATTTGCACAAAAGTAACTCAAACCGCACCGTGTTTGTGGGCCGAAACGAGTCACATGTTTGACAAGTTTAGCCTAATCGTATCTGGTATGCATAAAGGAGATACTTCATTCATTGGATAATCAGGAGACGTAATCTCAAGTTCAACTTGGAAATGAAAAGAATATGACGGTTAATAAAAGAGTGCCCTCTCCCTGCACTTGTTTGAGACGGAGAAGGTTTTATCTTTTGATTCCAGGCTAGGCTGTCAGTAATAATGTGATTAGGGCTGCTCTCAGCCCATATCACACATCCCGAAGCTTCCTGGCTGTCAAAATTCTTTTGGCTTCTTCTTTTCCACGTTTTTTTCAAGTTTCAACTAAAAAAGGAACGACTGTTGATTGTGACATCCATTTCCCCCCCCCCCCAAAAAAAAAAATCCTTGCTGAAAAACGTGACTACTGCCCTGGTGAGTTTGGGCGTGATGTAGGTTTTGTCATAATTATTAATGATGGATCCTAGATCATTCTTATCAATTCTTTAGAAAATGACTAAAGTGATTTTTGTCAGGTTGACGAGGTTAGACCCTTATATTGGATAGTCTTAGGGTATTCTACTTGACTTACATTGTAAAGGAAATGGTTTGGTTTGGGTTTTTGTTTTTTTCACGTAAAAACAAAATTTATGATAAGTACTTAAAATTATAGGGATAGATCGCTCTATTCAGAGCCATTAATTTAGTGGCTCCGTTCTTCCTAGAGATCCAGAAGAAAGAAAGAAAAAAAAAAAAAAAAAAAAAGAAAGAAAGGAGAACAAATTAAACATGCGTGAACATAACACAAAATATGGAATATACATATGTACAATTTATGAGATGATTGTTCTGAAGTCAGTAATTTGTCAGTATTTCTGAGAGGAAAGGTAAGCAGTAGATCAGAGAAAAAAAAGGCTTTGATAGAAAGAAAAGGAAAGAGGAGAGTAACAAATTTTGGGGTCATGTTTACTCACAAGAGATCTGTGTAAAAAGAGTTTTTAAAAAGTCAGATTCTCAAGCACATTTTTTCCCCTTTTTTAAAAATTGATCTTAGCTCTATTCAGTGTTAAATCATGCACCACTTCTGTGTATTATTCTTGATTCGATGGGAGAGGGAGGAGAAGAGGAGAAAATGAGAGAAGTGCGGGAGAGAGAGGGAGGGGAGAGAGAGACAGAGAGAAGTGATGATAGAAAAGACAAAAGGAAGCTGACAGTAGAATTGGCTTTCACTGTCAAATCCAATCTTCCCAAATGAGACAATTTCCTGTTCGAGCTTGTCCACCTATTATCTGCCGCAGCGTGCCTTGTTTGAATACTTCCTCTTTAAATTAGACACTGCAATATCAGACAAGATTGTACCGCCTTCATGTGTCTCCCCCTTACACCGTGCAGGCATTATCGGAGGGGGGGGGGGGCGCTTTCTTTGGCGCGACTTGGAGGCTACGCCTGTCACTCCTTCTCTTCCTCTTCTAGTCTTCTGTCCAAGCACATTTACTATTTTTTCCTCCAATGTCATTTTGCCGAGGACTGGACACAGAGCATCACTCTTTTTTTACAGACTGCCCTAAAATGTTTGTTGCAATTTTAGATTTTCTATGATTACCTTTAAAACCCTTCACTTACTTGTTGTTTTTGAAAAAAATGAAAGAAGTTCGCAATTTTTAAGTCCCATCCTTGGCGTCTAGACTTCACACAGAATGAGCTTATTGACTGAGCATATTGATGTGGTTATTAAATCATATCACTGATTTTTATGTAAAATTATCGTTTGTAAACTTGTCTTAAAACTTTTGCTTTTGTAATAGAACGAGATGTTTTCTATAAACTCTTATTTTTTCTCAAAAGTTTTTGTAGTTGCATAAAACCTTTGAGATTATTGCATTGCACAAGAATTCTTCCTTGTTGAATTATCCATAACTGATGCTTACTTTCATTGAAATGATTATTGTAAAAATGTGTGGAAATACATGTATGATTCTTTTCTTTTGAGCGACTCCCTGTCCTGGCAAATGCTTTTCAGGACATGGCATTTTATTGACATTTGTCTGTCTCAACCCAGGTGAAAAACTTTGCATAATTGATCCCTTGAAGTTGAATGTACTGTGAACTGCAGTGAAAAAAATACATGGGGGCTCGGGCAAAGTAGCCCTCGATATGCCCAAAAGAGCCCCCAAAAGTCATAAAAGAGCCCCCCAAAATTGCATACAGTTCAATGCAAAACAAAATAAAGAGTGTTATTTTCATGCAAGCAAGCTTGAAAAGTAGCCCCCGAAATTTGTAGAGTATTTTTTAATACTTGGTTTCTTCCGTTGTTTTAAATCCAATTTTTTCCCATTACTGTGGTTGTCGGTCATACAAATATGATTTTTCTATTTTTTATTTAAAAAACACTCTTTTTTGTTTCTTGCCTCTTTCATTCTACTCTTTACCATGACCCTTTCTGGGTCTGTGTGTGTCTCTCTGATTTTCCACTTCCCTTGTATGGTCCAAGATAAGGAGAGTGACTGTCAGTGTTATTAATGTAAACTAATCGGTAAACAGGTTTGTTGATTGCGTTGTCATGGAGATGTATTGAGTGGCTCTGTTATCTTCTCAGAGAAACTTGCACCATATTGCAGACAATTAATGCAAAGTTTGCATTGGCTGCAATGTCTGTATTGATTAAGGCTCAATCTTTTAACCCTGGCTTGATACTGGGCGTGATTCTAGTAATCGGAAGAGGGATAAACTCTCTGCCCCCCTCTCTCTGCCTCTCTCTTTCTTCCCCTCTCTCTCATCCTCTATGTCTCTCACTTTCTCTCCTCTCTCTGTCTCTTTCTCTCCCCCTCTCTGCCTCTTTCTCTCCCCCTCTCTGCCTCTTTCTCTCCCCCTCTCTGCCTCTCTCTTTCTCCCCTCTCTCTCTCTCATTCCCTCTCTACAGTACACTGTATGTCTCTCACTTTCTCTCCTCTCTCTCTGTCTCTGTCTCTGTCTCTCTCTCCTCTCTCTGCCTCTCTCTTTCTCCATCTCTCTCTTTCCCCCTCTCTCTGTCTCTCACTCTCTCTCTGTCTATCTATCTTTCACCCTGTCTGTCTCTCACTCTTTCTCCCCTCCCTGTCTCTTTCTTTTGCCCCCTCTCTCTGTCTCTCTTTCTCTCCCTCTCTCTGTCTCTGTCTCTCTTCCCCCTCTCTGTCTCTCTCTTCCTTTCTCCCCTTCTCTCACTTCCCCTCTCACATAATCTTTCTCTTACCCTTCTCATCTCACCTATTTTTCTGTTTTCTTATTCTTTGGTCATTTAGAACAAACACACACATGTACATTAATGTTTCTATGGATTTCAGTCTGAACAACATTCAATAACAAAAGAAAGAAAAAATATATAAATGAATAACAAAATTGAAATAAAAATAAAGTTATATGTACGGTACATGTAGGAGCTGACTACCACTCAGTAAACAGCTAATGCATTGGAGAGATTTGTTTGTAAAATCTTTAGCTCTTCAGTATTTGCATACCAGATTTACAAAAAGATTTTTTTTAAAAATTGTAATTTCTAATATCAATTATTAAACATATATAGTAATCTTATTTTTTGTCATGTTATGTTATGAAAGCTTAATCTGTATTTGTACAGTATTTTGTACATATTTATTAAAGAGGTGTGGCTGCTTGCAAAGTTGCAATGAAAAAGAATATTCATAACAAACAGATGATTGAGTGACAGTAGGTAGGGTGTGAACTTGGTTTCAATTTGTGTTCACTATAAGCTCTGTATACCAGTTTGTATACCTGGGGGGTGTTTCACAAAGATCCTAAGTTGAACTTAACTCTAAGTTGGACTTTAAAATGATGGAGAGCCATTTGTAGCCTTAAAATCAAATATATTTAAAAGAAAAAATTCAAGTAATTTAGACTTTTCATAAATTCCACATCAAGAACATGAAATCTCCCATGATAATAGATAATATGAATGATTTGAATCAACATTTTATGCCTTTTAAAATAACTTATACAAAATATTTTCATAGATGCTAATGGCTTTCCATAGTTGTTAAGTCCAGCTAATAGAGATAAGTTCAACTTAGGATCTTTGTGAAACACCCCCAGTTAGTCAATGCAGTGTGTGAAATAGCGCATAACCTTATTCACAACAGATGAGAACACACACACTCTACACATAATCACAGGATGCAAAGCCAGTACATCGAATGAGCCTCTCTCATTGGTCAATCACTGGAGTGGGTGTGGACTCAGCTCTTGAATATTCATAAGTTCATTCAAACTTTTCATGCTCATTATGCGCTGCTTGACTGTACACAGCGGATAGCCAACAAGCTGCACATATCCCAGTTGTAAGAGGTGTGGTATTATATATGTGAAGAATAAAGGGTTTCGTTGTTAGCTCAATGACATTTGGCCATTCCTATCTAGATTTGATTAGTAGATAAATGTGGAGATTGTTGCAAGGGTTGGTTTCCTGGTGTGAGTATCAGAAACATCTCTTGAGAGAAACCATTGAATATTCATTCTCCAAGTCCAAGGCATCTCGCAGCTAGGCCTGGGGATCTCAACTGCAAATTGCTTGTTTGATCAAAAGACAAACAATTGCTTTTTTAGACTGATGTTGATGTCTTTTCCCTCACAACAGACTCTGTCATCATTATCATCATCATCGCTGGAATCACTGCTGAGGATCGAGAGCCGAGGGCACGCTGAAGGAACATCCCGGTGAGAGGTCCTGTGGTACGGGGGGTTGATTGATGAGGACACTTGAGGTTCAAATCTCTTGATGAAGCTGTTTGGATGAGGTCCATATTATCCAGTGCTGGCCTATGGTAAGTTGAGAGTCAAACCATTTAACTTCTTCTGTGTGGCTGATGGCGTATGATTTTTGTTCGTTTCTCGGTTAAGCCTTGAAAATAGCTCTGTAATAATTACTTTAACATCTTCCATTTGTATTACCGTTGCAGATTGCAGTTTTGACCAGTTTTACTCATTTGTGAGGAATTGATTTAATGTCTTGTTATTTCCTGAAGTACAGTGTAGTCTCTGTACACATGTATATGAATTGACCTTCAAGTCAATCATCTACAGACTAAAAAGTTTTAAAAATTGCATTTGATTAAAGGTAAAGACCAGTATTGGAAACGCCCCAATTTCAAAAAATGAAATGGAAGCTCTCATTACCAATCATGTGAAAGAATATGTTTTGAATAACACATGATGATAAAAAATTTGCTGGGAAACCATATATATTTGGTAAATTTGTTTCTCTCATGGTCTGTGAGAGATATAGGGTAGTCCCATATACATCTTTCTGTGTATAGTGCTTGTAACTTTACGAAGAATGGGCCAAATTTCTTATCATTTTGATGATTCCAGAACCTTGCAGATGCTAGATGCTAGATGATCAACCTTTTCTGATCGATTCCACAACGTTTCTTTCACAATGCAATCGCATGACCATAACTGGTCTTTACCTTGAATGAGATTATATGTAATTATCGGAATGTTTCCCTTAAAGGGGAAGTCCCCCCTGATATTAAGTTGGTTTTAATAGAAGCAGGAAAATGGGAGAACAGGTCAGTGAATGTTTGAACAAAATCTTTTCATCATTACATTTCATTATTGTCACGGTGCTAACAACAAATGTACTGTGAATGTTTTTATGTATTCATATGCGACTGTATGTGATAGATAAGGTCTAAATGGGACATTGACTATATTAATAAAACCAGTACTAATACCAGAAATAAATTTACGGTAATGTTAAATTGTTTTGCCTAAGGTTTATGGGAAAACATTCATTTTCGAGAAGTTTGATACAAGCTTTGTTGTGTCACTTTGGGCTTCACTTCATATAAAATGTATACAAACAAAAAAAATCTGTGATATTTGTTGTTGTTGTAGTTGTAGTCATTAAAGTCAGGAGATTTAAAAACATCTCTTTTCCTTTTTGAAATTTTCTGCATATTTACACACATGTACAAGTACAATGTATGTGGACGTCGTTCAAATCTGGGCTTGTGAGAATGGCAGTGAGAATATAGCTACACTGTAGTTCAGAACTCTATAGATTTCTATGATGAAGGCGTTCTGTTTGAGGGGTTTCTGCCAAGCAGAGAATTTTTCTCTTTTTTTTCTTCTTCCGTTCACTATTTTTGACCTTGCTACAAACATGAGGCAAAGAAAAGAATAGAAACCAAAAACGAAAGGGGGTTCCATCTTTGTCATGAGGAAATATTCAGTAAATAGTCCAACGTGAATGGAATTGAAAAGCATCGCTGGCCTAGACTATATGTATGTATGGGGGCTTTTCTGTCTTTTTCTCACTAGTCTCTGGCAGTACAATGGCCAATTGTTCGAGGGAAGGAGAAGGAATGGTGGCTTTTGCAAAGAATATTGCCCAGATTGAAAGCCTATTCTGTGTCTCTCTTTTTAGTCTTTTGTACGCTATTTACTGCTACCCTGCACATACAAATATACACTGTTGTACAACATCCAAGGATGGAGTGGGTGATTTTTTAGTCGAGAATGAAACTCTGATGAAAAGAAATAAAATGAATTGGACAAGAGAAAGAGAGTGAGGGGGGGGGGGGGGGGGTTCTTTATTATAGAATTGAATACAATATATTAGAAAACAGATTTAGTGGTGAGAGAAAGAGTGAGAAAAACAGAACCTGAGTTAGTATTGGATTTTTCAGAACATGGAAATGAACTCAAAGATAACAAAATATGAGAGAGAGGGGAAAGAAGGAGGAAAAGAAGAGTGAGAAGAAAGAGGAGGAGGAGGAAAAGAAGGAGGAGCAGGAAGAGGAGGATGAGGAGAGGGAAAGAACGCTGCAAATAAGGGGGGGGGGGGTACGTGGGGCCATCATCGCAATCAAAGCTTTACAATAGGGCTCTATTGTCAGTTGGACTGGGTAGACCTACATTGTGTAGTTTCACAAAAGCTACTTCCATTGAAGAAAAAAACCAAACAAACTGGTTGAAAGAGAAAAGAAATGCAAGGGGTGGGTCTCTTTATTCCATATTCTGCAAGTTTGCTTCTAAATGTACAAAACAGCATCAGATAATACAGTAGTCATAATGGAATCCAGTCTGGGGTGTCTACATGTTGTAAGATTTTACATTGATATTTCAGATCTCTCCACTGACTTAAACTTGTCTAAAATGTCCAGACAAGAGGGAATTTGTACAAAACTTTGTATAAAGAAAGGTTTAAAGCCTATCTGCCGTAGTTTACAGGAGGGATTAGACCGCCCTGCAAGGTCACTGGACAGGTGGTTATCTCATCAACTCAGCTCTCAGTTAACATAAGAAAAAGAGGATCATGGGGGACCAATGGTCACCGATTAGGCATTGTTTGTTATATAGAGGGCGCAAGTAGCTACAAGTAGTGCAGTAGGCCTTTAAAGAATCATCGTTTGATAGCAGTAGGGGTGTACGAACCAGACAGTTGTCATTGTTATTATAAAACCTATAGCTCTTATGAGTTTCCTTTTTTTTTTAATAATCAGTTTTCCCTCCTTAAATTAGCAACAATTATTCTTAGTTTCCACTCATTAGTAGTTTGAAAACAAACCAATATGAAAGAGAATTACAAAATTTAAATAAAAATTTGCCAATTTGTACAGACAGGGGGGTCACATGAGCAAAAAACAGAATGATACTGACGTTTCAAGAGCGGGCACTAACGTGGCAAAAATCAGAGAAATTTTGGCAAGCATTTACGAAAAACCACCCTCCAGAGTTTGAGCGTTGGATTTCAATTGTTTGTTCTGTTTGCTACCCACGAAACACCGGAATGTAAGAAAAATCTATGATTTTTGGTTGCAGTGTAAAAGCAGCTATTTAGAGTAAATCCAAGTTGAGACCTGGGGGGTGTTTCACAAAGATTCTAAGTCGAACTTAACTTAAGTTGGACTTAAATATTATGGAGAACCATTTGTAGCCTTATAATGAAATAATAATGAAATATATTCAAAAGCAAAAATTTAAGTATTTTAGACTTTTCATAAATTCCACTTCAAGAACATGAAATCTCCCATGATAATAGAAAATATGAATGATTTGAATTAACATTTTATGCCTTTTAAAATAACTTTTACAAAATATTTTCAAGGAAGCTAATGGCTTTCCATATTTTAAGTCCAACTTAGAGATAAGTTCGACTTGGGATCTTTGTGAAACACCCCCTGATTAGATAAACTGCCTTGTGGGGGTACCAACATAAACAGAAAATTCTGGAAATCTTTTATTTTTCTACCTCTTTGACCTTTACCCAAACTGTTCATATCCTTATCGTAGAAGAGACGAGAAAGTTTTGTTTTGGCAATGGTACACTCGACAAGACATTGATGAGTACAAATTTTTTTTCTTCACAGAGTAAATGTTAATTTTTGGACAAAAACATACAGTCTTAAATTCATTTTCCAGTTATGACGACCTTGTCCTTGTTTCATAAAACTGGTTATCAATAACAAATGCTAAATAGCTATGCCAAATTTGCCCTTAGCCAATCCATTGCCACGATTTTAGTAGCTTATATTACAGTTATTGTAAATTGTTAGTGATAACAAGTTTTATGATACAGGGCCCAGCCTTGTCAGATAGTAGTACCCTCAATTCTAAAATTGGAATTTTATGCAAGCATACTATCAAAATTGATAACCTCTTTATTCGGCAAGTAAAATTGATGACTTCATCTGGAGCACCATATCCCACTGAAAACAAAACAAAGATAATATTTTGTCGTATTTTGTTTTCCTTTCTAGATACATGTTGTGTGTGGTTCTTGCGGAGTCTCTGCTTTGCCAAGAAATATCTCTAGGTATTGTTTGTGCATCTTCTTTGAAATTGTCCGAGAAGAAAGTGTCCTCTATGAACAAGACCTTTCCTTCTTTCTTTCTTTTTTTTTGGGGGGGGGGGGGCAATACATAAGGTATGAGCAAGCAGATACATTTGTTTAAAGCCCCACTGTCCTACTTGTAGCTACTTGCTCCCTCTATATAGAAAACTTCCCCAATCGGTGCCTGTTGGTCCCCCATGATCCTCTATTTCTTGTTAATTGAGAGCTGAGTTGATGAGATAACCACCTGTCTAGTGACCTTGTAGGGTGGTCTAATCCCTCCTATGAACTAATACGGATGGGCTTTAAAGTAACTGCAAAATTGAGGTGATCTTGCTTGCTAGAAATAATTTTGTAGGCCTAAATTATTGCTTGACCTCATCCACTATGGTTGCTGTAGTTGACATGGAAGCATTGAATAAGCTTGCCTGACATAGCAATACTTGATTTGTGCTTCATGAATTCTACCTATGAAATAGTTTATGGCACTTTATTTGCAGGTAAAGAACTACTTTTAAAAAATTGGGGCTACTTTTCAAGCTTGCTTGCATGTAAATAACACTTTTTTAATTTGTTTTGCATTGAACTCTATGGAAATTTTGGGGGCTCTTTAATGACTTTCGGGGGGAGGGGGGGGGCTCTTTTAGGCATTTTGAGGGCTTATTTGCCCCGAGCCCTCGTGTATTTTTTTCACTGTTTATTTGGTAAAGATGCATCAAAGTTGACCCATGTTCTTTTTGGAATGTGAGAAGTAGGCCTAAACAATCATGTTGTTATGATGATAGCGGGTTCTTGGAATGTCTCTCGAACTTGACACTCCTGGCGCTCCGCAATTATTACCCGGCTTTAGCATGGCTGCCAATATGGTGCTCTCTCTCTCTCATGTCGCTCTTGTTTTGTTTTGTTTTGCAACCATACAAATTATGCCTAATACAAATGAAACGCCATGCTCACTCGTGCTCCGATTTGAGTTACAAGCGTTTG